ACCCAAATGTGCCTCCGCAGACGAACAGATAAACAAACTGCGATGCATCGCACCACACTGAGACGCGCCACACACACGGATCCCTGTGGTGTTTAGCTAAGTGAAAGGAGCCAGATCCGCAAGGCAGCATTCACATGGCAGAACGTAAGGACGAAGAAGGAATGAGTGATTGCCAGGGTTTGGGGCTGACTTACAAAGGGCACAGGGGGATTTTGGAGGGGGGCGGAACTGTTCTAAACCTTGATGGTGGTGGTAGTTACACAACCGTCTCTGTTTGCCAAAATGGGTAGAACTGTACACTCGGAAGGGTGAATTTTAGTCTATGTAAATTTTAGCTTGTTGAGGGTTGAATTATGTCTCCCGAAAAGATATGTTTAAGTCTTAACCCCCAGGACCTCAGAATGTGACCTTATATGGAAATAGGGTCCTTGCAGATGTAATTAGTTAAAATGAGGTCATGCCTGAGTAGGGCGGGCCCTAATCCAATATGATGGTGTCCTTATAAGAAGAGAAGAAACTGAGAGACAGACACACAGGGAGAAGACAGTCATGTGACAATGGAGGCAGAGACGGGGTGATGCAGCTGCAAGACAAGGAGACCTAAGGATTGATTGCCTGGGGAGGAGGCAAAGAAGGATTCCGCCCAGAGTCTCAGACGGAACACGGCCCAGCTGCCACATTGTCTTCGGACTCCCAGCCACCAGAACTGTGAGAGGATAAATTTCTGTCGTTTAAGTGTTCCAGTTTGTGCTACCTTTTTATAGTGGTCCTAGGAAACTAATACATATATCAGTTTTTAAAACGTAGGAACAAACTTGTTTCAATCTCTTGGCCTTCAGGATATAGCCTAAGAGCCTCTGCTGGTTGGTCCCCTCTCCTGCGCATCCCATCCACCCCCATCCACACAGAGTGCAAACGTCAGGCACACCGAGCCTGCAGCAACCCCTCACCTTCCCCACACGCACACCTGACATCAAACACAGCTTGGAAAGAGAACGAAATTTCTGTCGCCTCTTTTGCTTCTCTCTCAGCCAGGTGCTTTTGTGCAGTGAAAAACCTGTACAACTGTATGCAACAGCCTTGGAGGCTTGATAGCCTGGAAGGCTTTTTGCAGGAGTAGAGGTGGGGCATGTGTGCTTAATCCCTGAGGCAGGGAAGAGCTCAGTACTTTCCAGAGGCTGGAGGGAGGGGCAGCCAGTGAAGGCCGAAGTGCCTGTCCCTTCCGTCTCTGGTACCTCAAGCATGGGAGTGGCCTAGGTATTTGCACAGAACCTTGGGAAGAGCCTGGCTCCAGCTATGAGACCTCAGGCCAACCAGTTCCCCTCTCTTAGCCACAGACTCATCTGTGAGCAGGGGCTGGATTAGGGGGTCTACAGAGCAAAACTGATCTCTGACATCTGACGATGCTAGAGTTAGGGATGAGGCCTGCTTTGCCCTGTAGAAAGAAGACCGCTGACTGTCTTTCAAACCTCTTCAAGGGGTACTTGCTCAGCATCTCAAGAGAGCCCACCCTGCTCAATCCCTGGTCACACCATGGGCCTCTTGGACGCAGCTCCAAGGACCCCTCCATGCCCAGGTGTGATCTTGGGCTGTGGGAGGGCACCTCAGAGCAAGCTCTTACAGGCTCCAAATGAGCCTGTACTATCCCTGGAATGGGGAAGTCCAGACCCAAACACATCAGGACAAACCTTGACCAAGGCCAAGCAGAGAGGCAAAGTGACCACTCAAGACCTCCAGTGGGCAGTGGTCATCGCAAACCTGGCCTGGTACCCAGCAAGTGCTTGATAAAGAGGCAGTGAATGAATGAATGAATGAATGCAGCCAGCAGGGACACAGGCACTGTTCAGATCGAGCCCTAGCCTTTCTAGTGCCAGCGTGGTGGGGGACCTAGCCTCGGAAGGAGCTGCAGAACATCAGCCAGGGAGGGCTAGCCCAGGAAAGTTCTCCATCTAACACACAGATGGGGACACTGAGGCTGAGGGAAGCGACATGGTGGCCACGCCCACCAATATTTAGCCCTGTTAAAGCACAGAATTTGAAAGTCAGAGCTCGAACCAGAATAACCAGTCTGAAGCTTCTAGTAAAATCTAAAGCTCACAAACATCCAATGTGCAAAAAATGTTTGCCATCTAGTCTTTGAAATAAGAGCCTTAGTCACTGCAAAAGTGACTCTCTTCTCTCCTCCTCTCCCACCTCCACTAGGAAATAAACTTGCAGGTAGCCCTAACTTGCAGGTAGCAGGTAACACAGCTTTAGTATTTCTGGCATATAACCCGGTGCTATGGGACAAGAGATAAAACTTTCTGTGTTAGTTAGGATTAAGTTTGCCTAAAAGTGACAGAAAACCTACTATAACAGTGATTTAAATAAGATAGTTATGTATTTCTCTTTCATATAAAAGTCTGGATAAGTAGTACATGGCTGGGATGATGTTCCAACCTGTCTCGAACCCTTACTGTATTGCTGCTACACCCTGTATAGCTTCCATTCTTAAGTTCACGTCTGAGTCCAAAATGGCTGCTTCAACTCCAGCCATTACATCTGCAGTCCAGACAACAAAAGAGAGAAGAAAGAGAAAGAGATATTTGTTCTCTTTAAGGACATATCCAAGCAAATTGCACCCCTTACTTATATTTCACTGTCCTGAACTTAATCACATAGCCACATCTAGCTGCAAGGAAAATGAAAAGTGTTTAGCTAAAATTTATACCAACTAAAATTCAGGCGCCAACCATCAGGCTCTGCCTCACTGTGGAACTCAAATACTTTAGGATGGTGATAGATCTCAAGGAAATAGTCCCAAATCTTAGACCACAAAAGTGTTCAGGAGCTTTATTTAAAATAGAGGGGACTTGGAAAGAAGTCGACACATGTCTACCACTTACTCCAATCATTAAAATGATCATAATATGATGAAGCCACCAAAGATGGTAGGTAGGTAACATATGTCCTCAGTATGGCATGTAGAGACGCATAGAGGAAATAACACCCAGTGAAAAAAGAGGAACATAAATTAACATGTACACACAGATCAAAACTGTGCATACAAAGATCGAGATTCAGTAAACATGCAGCTGGACTGGGTACAGCTTCAAAGACGTTAATATGTTTGATATTTTAAATTTCACTATTTTTGTAGGTCTGCGTGTGAACTTTTTCAGGTATATATATATATTTTTGGAAGATCAACAGTGCACACACGCAAACACACACACATCCCTGACATATACAAGTAACAGCCCCCAACTGGTCTCACAGCCCAAACAGCTAACATCCTCTTATGTAACCATGGCAACAACTCTGTGAGGCAGGGATTGTGTCTTCACTTGGCAGAGGAGGAGGAGAAAGGTGACCTAGCAGATACAGGTGCAGTGACTTGCCCAGGATTGCCCCGCTCTGAGTGGGAGAGCAGACTTGTGGTCTTCACCACCATGAGAAAACCCAAACTCTTCCACCTGCGGCCAGGTGGGCCTCAACAGCTTTCTAGACCCACCACACACAGAACCTTCTTCCCTGTCCCCAAACCAGGCCCTTCTGGGCTCCCACACACAATTTGTTATTCCCTACTTCCCCGCATTGTGCTTTTCTCCTATCTGAGATATCTTTCTCTGCACATGCCTGATTCCAGCTATTAAAATCCTACTCATCCTTCAAGACCCAATTCAGATGCCACCTCTGCCAGGGGGTCCTTCCTGCTCACCACGGCCAAGTGTAAATGGAGCCTCAGCATATGTTTATATAGTGCCCTGTACTTTAATTATGTGCATATTTCTCTTATTTTCCCTAGTAAACCGTAAACTCCTACACGTCCAAAATATGTTTGGTAAATGGATGGATGGGTGGGTGGGTGAGGATGCATGAGAAAGACATTCATTGAGAAAAGAATCAATGAATGTATTTTAGATGGATGCTCTGTCAAAAATGTCAAGAGCGGAAAGAGGCAAGCATAATAAATGCTGTCATCGGTTGCCATCGGTAGAGAGCTAAGTCCTCAGTTTGAATTGCAGTATCCCTAGAGAAATCTGCAGTATCGACCTCTGACACTGATTGAGATTAAGGAAGCTGGAGACATGGAGGTCGGGGAAAGAGGTCCCCAGTGAATTCCTCCTTGACAGCTTGCTCTGTTAACCAGGGATCACCAAACTGCATTTCAGATGCAAAGTCCTGCATTTCTTTTGTTTCTGCAAGTGGGTGAAGAAGCATGCTTATTGACCCGGGGAACAGTGGAGTCCTGGGATAATCTGCGCAGGAGGGAGGGTTCTCTGCGACCATGTGGTCCCCTCTCCCTCTGCTGAGCTGTCCCTCTCCTCCCATTCTCCTCTTTCCGTCTTCAGAAAACAGGCTCTTTGTTCAGCCCTGACACCTCGTATGGAATGTCAGTCATGGAGTGAGGCTGGTGTTTGGCTTTTGAAGTCCCATCTCTTAACTAGAGAATAAAAAGTTCTTGGCTTTGATAAAGATCCCAGAGACAGCGACAAAATGGGGGCCACCTTTGTGGAAGGAAATGTCCCATAGGAGAGCCCAGTAGGGCAGCCTCTCACCAACCGGCTCATAGGCCCCACCCTGGCCTCCTTAGCTCCCCTGGGCTCCAGGTTGTGGGTGGAGCCAGCTTCTGGGGAAGCTGTCACTGTGCCCAGGCTGGGGCTGAGACTGCAGGGGGCCTTGCCCTCAGCCTGGCGCAGTTACCCCATAGGATGTGGCCTGAGTGTGTGCTGCAGCGGTGTGTACAGCCAGTGACAGGTCTTGACCACAACCGCTCCCCAGGCCTTCTCTTCTGAAAGGGAACCGACATTTCAAAGCAAGCGGATTCATGCTTTCAGACATGTGCAGACCGGGGCAGGGACCTCCCGAGGAGCTGCTGGCAAGATGGAGGCGAGAGGCTTTGCCATCACTTTCGAAGTTCTTGACCACCAGAGCTGTTTCAGGCCCTGGGGTAGCCTCCTCCCAGCGCTTTCCCCCTACCCCCACCCGCCCCCCGCCCGCCCCGTGGAGAGATGTACCTGAGGCTGCACACAGGGTTTTCCGGCAGGCAGGGAGAGCCAGAGGCAATGGCCATGACTGCGGTTTCCAGGTTCTTCTATCGAAGATCTAAGGCTGACAGCCACACAGGTGTGGGGAGTCAGTAAGGCCCTCCCCGCCACCCTGTGGGCACCCAGGCTGAGGGAAGGGGCTGGTTTCACAGTATAACAGTGTGTGTGTGTGTGTGTGTGTGTGTGTGTGTGTGTGTGTGCGCGCAGTGGGAGGAGGCACACGGTGTCCTCAGCTGCCCCCGCCTGCACAGGGACACAGGGATGGGCTGGTCTTCTGGGGGCATCACTGGGTGTGCTGTGGGGAGGCCCCACTCGCCTGGCAGGGAGCCCCTTCCTTCAGCTTGGTGCCTGTGTGGTCCTCCCTTGCAGGGCCTTCCCTTGGTACCCATTCCCCCTGCCCCGACGGCAGCAGCCTTCACAGGCAGGATCCACACCACGTGAGGCTGTCCGAGATCCCAACAGCTCCCTCACCAAATGGCCAGAGGAGGCTCCCGCTCACAGACCAGGCACACCCAGAGAGGCTGTTCTCCCGTAACCTTCCCAGCTCACCATCCAGCCTGCCAGGTAGTTCTGCCAGGAAGCCAGGGGCCTTTCCCCAAAGCAGACTCCCTAAAACGACACTTTTTTTCAAAACTAGTTTTTCAAAAATAAACCCGCAACAGTGAAAACACAGTTCCCTCCAGGCACTTAGTCAGGGCAATGACCCAGAAGTCTCCTTTCTGGGTCTTTGTTTCTTATGAAAGTACACCTGCACTTTCTAGACTGTTCCACAGGCTGCCCTTCCAGGCTTCAGGAGGACGAGCGCTGCATCATCTCTGAATGGCGCTACAACCCCCTGGAGTCAACTGTTGCTTTAGGATACCAGCTTCTGCTGCCTGCTGGCCAGGAACTCGGGGAATCACTGAATGTCAGACCGAACAGATCACTGAGTTCATTTCAATGGGGAAACTGAGGCCCAGAGAGGAAGAAACTTGCTTCCTAGACTATAATCCCAAATCACCAGAGGGGACCTTAAAGATATCCTCCAGTCCCACTGATGCCCTACAGCAAGTAAGTCCCCAAGCATCTTCCAGATCGGCACAGGACGCACAGGACGGTACAATTAGGCGGACTCTAATTGCCAGGCAGATGGCAGGGACAGGACGGTGCAGGGACGTGGGGACAAAACGGATAAATCCCACTTAAGGACTGGAGCACTGTTCCTCAGATTCTCCTTCGGTAACCTTTTATTTTGCCAAAAAGACATTAAAAACCAACCGTCTCCATCAACTTACCCAATCATTTCATAAAAGAAAAGAGGCTTCATACGGCAATAAGACCTAATCTCAGCAAGAAGGACGGCTCTGCTCAGAAAAGATTGTTCGTCAGCCTTGGCTGATATGCATGCCACGCCCACCACACACACACACACACACACACACACACACACACACACACACAACAACGACAACAACACCATTACTTTCCTAGGTTCTCAGTGGACCACAGACCGGCATTTGGGACCCACTGACTCAGCCAGGGTTCCCCCAGAACCTGCACATCCAGCAAAATCCATTCTTTCAGCCAAGAATGCAGTATGCGTTTGTGAGCTGGCTTCACCTTCTCCCAGCCTCTGTCCCAGAGAAGCGAGGGGAGCTCAGCCGGGGAGGATACAATGAAGGCAGTGGGGCTATGTTGGGTCCCTACTCAATTTCCTGGGTGGCTGGCCACCCTCCATGCTCCAGACTGAGGGAGGGCTGCGGTGGCCCCGGGGGGCTTGCCACCCGCTGCAGAAGGGGAGCCGGGTTCCTCGCCGCCCAGGCCTGGGCAACTCCTCTGGGGCCCCACCTTGCAAATAGTTCCAGAAGTTCACAAGAGAGACACAAGAGAGAAGGCTGTGAGGTGATTTTTAAAATCCCATTTAGTTTATCAGCATCCTCAAGCATTTATTGAGTACCAACTGTGTGCAGGACAGAAAGATATGAAGCTAAAAGATCTGATCGCTTTTATTTGGAAGTTTATAATCTAAACAAAGCATGATGTTAAAGGGTTTTTCGCTTCTCTAAAATTGCTAGGCAAATAAATAGTTCATGCAAAAGTTTTCTGAGTATTCATAAAGGAGAAATATCTGTGAACTGGTGTGGAAGGAAGGCTTCCTGGAGGAGGTGGCAGCATCGTGGGCAAAGGTGGGGAGGCTGCGGCAGTTCTGCATGTCAGGGACGGAAAAAGTGAAGCTGTGCACTGGCTTCATGCAGGACTGGAGTGGGACATGGAGGGCAGGGAGTTCTTGAGGGGTCTTTTAAATATGAGATCATGGCACCTAAAGGTGATTAGGGGACCATGGGAGGGATGTTCATCTTTCCTTGCCTGGCCTGAGGTACCTCAATAGCAGCTGGAGCAGCTGCGTTCTGTGATTTTCACACCACCAGTGGGGCTTATTTGGGGTGGGGGTTGGGGGGATGGAGAAGAGATCGATAATTTAGAAAAGTCATTAAAGTTGCGGTTTTCATCTTTAGCTCCACTATTAAAGAAAACACCCACGTTTTGGACACCGCTAGGTCGTAAGATAAATTGCAGTTTCAGGGTAATAGCCGCATCAGATGAAAGTTCTAGAGCTGGCTGTCAGAGCAGCACCGTGAGCTGACTTGCCAAGAACAAGATGGCTCCTGGCCCCTCACTCCCTTCTAGAGGTAACTCCGTAATGGAGGGCCGATTGGGGGGCAATGAGAAGTTTGGGTTCTTTTTCAGTCACTTCCCCCATATCGGGGCTCTTTTAGGCACAAAGATGCCCCCAAGCCCCTGGAGTAGGCCCCGTGGGTTCCCCCTTCTTATTCTTGCCATTTTCCATCAGTCTTTCCCAGGCCAACGCTCGCCTTCCTCATTCCCTCAAACCCCGTTACCTGATAATGGGGTGCAGACTCCCCCTCTCTCCCTTCCAGATCCCACGCCACACTCTCTCACCTCCAAGCCTTTGCTCAGGTGCTTCTCTCCCCTGAGCCTGTCCCCTCCTCCACATTTCTGCCTACCCGGTTCTGCTCGATCGTCCCTGCCTGGATGATGGGAGCTGAGGGGACCGAGGGGATGAGTCTCACTCAAGGGGGAATCACTTAGTGACAGTGGAATCTGCGCGGGGCGGGTAGGATGGCGTCTGTGGTTGTCTGCCACGTGCGCTTTCCTGTCCTTTGCGCTGACATCATGGCTGGGAGGTACCACAGGGCCGCTCAGGTCTCTGTCTGCAAAATGGAGCTCCGGGGAGGCTCGCCCTTCAAAAGTCACATTTGTTCCTGGCTGGCTTCTGTGTTTGATTTCTCGATCTCCTGGATTAAAATGCTGGTGTCCCTGTAACATTTTAAGCTTGCAACACTTGCTGCCTCAGAAAAGATCACTAAACGGGGCTCCAGGCCCAGGATAGGGCTTATCAGTGGTGGGGGAGATGGGAAGGAGGGCCGCGGGGACAAGCGTGCAGAGACTCCCACATCCCAAGTAGGCTTCGTGCCCCCACGCCCTGTACTCCTTCCTGCTTCCCAGGGAGTACACTGGGGCTTCTCAAGGCCCAGGAATACAGGCGTGAGCTGCTGAGGTAATGCCCCATTGCCCATGGGCCAGAGTCTCTTAAGGTCTGGAAGGGGGTGGTCCCCCAGCTGAGTGCCAACCAGAACCACCTAGGAGCATTAGCCCCTGAAAGCAAGGAGGCCCAGGCCAGTGGGCAGAGCTGGAGCTGGCAGCTGGGACTCTGCATTCATCACTGGTTCCTGCTCTGGGTGGGCCCCACCTCGGAAGAACCCTCTGTCTTAGACATTGGAGTTGTTGAGTGGGTCACCTCAAGGCGTTCAGTGGGACCCTTGCATTAGGTCAGGCGTGAGACAGAAAGCCAGGGCTCTCCCACATCCTGGGGCCTTGCCCAAGCGGCCCCTTGCACGGCCCAGGCTTAGGGGCCCTGAGTTCTAGACCCAGCTCCACCTCCAGCTCCCAAGACCTCAGCTGAGGCACTTCGTCTTTGAGGGTCTCCATCTCCTTGTCATTAAATTAGGGGATTGAATTAGGTCTGTGATGACGACATTTTTTCCAAAAGTGGAATCCTTTTTCAAATGGCATCTTAAGCAGACCCTCAGTTTATCCAACATATGAAAGCGTGGGCTCTGAGCACTCAGGGACCCTCCACGGAGTTCGGCATCCGGCCCCGTACCCGTCACGGCTTCGCCAGAGTCATCCTCAACGCCGCTCTCTCTCCCCCGTCACCTCCAATCCACCAGCACCTCCTGCGGCTCCAGCTTCTCACATCTCCACTCCCCCTCGGTTCCGGCCACCAGCCCTCTCCCCCCCCGCGCCACGGCAGTAACCTGCCCGCGGGCTTCCCCGCTTCTGCTTCTATTTCCCCTCCTGTCTGGCCTCAGTACAGCCCCAAACCAAGTCAGGTCGCCCTCCTGTGCGCACCCCACCCATGGCCCCTGGCTCCCTCAGAGCAGTCCCCAAAGCCTTCCCCGACCCGACCAGCCTTCTCCTGTCCTCATCTCCCACACGCCACTCCAACCTCGCGGGCCTCGCAGTTCCCGACAGGTCAACCACATCCCTTTCTGCATCTTCTCCTAGGAATGCCAGCTGCAAGCAGGCAGGAGTTTGGTTTAATGCTGGGCCCCCCCGCCTCCATCTAATGCAGACACTTGATAAGCAGCCTGTCTGCATTTTCTTTCTCTCCAGCCGACTTCTTCAACAAGTAGACAGAGCTTGCTTGCCAAGATCCTCACACTCCTATTCTGAGGAGCTGACACTCAGGTGACACCATCCTAGCCCCTGGGGAGTGAGAGTGGGTGACATTCCCATAGCTGTCTGAACTCTCAATATCCATCTCCCGCCAGCAAAGAGGAGGCTTTGCGAGGTAAGAGTGGACAGCCGAACTCAACCGAGGACCCGGGACCCAGCCGGGTATGGGGGTGGCGTGGGGGTGGGGAGCTCATAGATGCTTGCTCCTCATCATCCTTGTAATGCAGGTGTGCAGCCCAGGGAACAAGGGATGCGGGAGGTGCACCTGAGAACTGCCTTCCAGCACTTGAGAGTCAAGAAGGGTTGGGCTCCTGAGGGAGAACAGCATCTCAAATGGTAGAAGTTAGAGGGAGGCAGGCCGCAACTCAAGCTTGGGAATTCCTTTCTTAGATATCTATCTGCCCGTCAGAAGGGTTGGCGCAGTGGCGGCGAGCTCTGTCACTGGAGGTATGCAAGGACCTTTCAGGAATGTTGTCAAAGGTATTCCTGTACCAGGTACAAGGTTAAATGAAATGCTGTCTAGGAACCCTTCCAATCCAAAAGATCCTCTTAAATAAAGCGGCATTTTCAGCAACGGACCAATATTCATTTAACAGGATGGGCCAGGAACTGCTCTAAGAAGGCCTGAGCTGGTTAACTCATCCAATCCTTGTAACAATCCTATCAGTAGGTGTTATTATTACCCCATCGACAGCTGAGGCAAAGGCTAGGTCTTTTGTTCAAGGTTAAACTGCCGGCAAACAGAGAGATTGCACTAAAAAAATTGATAGCAATAATACCAACAATAAGAGTTTTTACCCTAAGGCAAAGGAGCAATATCCTCTTCATGCATTATCTCATTTAATCCTTAAAACAACCATAAGGAGTAGTTACTACTACTTGCCCTCATTTTATAGGTCAGTAAACTGAGGCAGAGAAATGTTGAATAACTGGCCCAATAATGAACAAAGAAAGGGAAGAGGAAGTGAGTCAGGCTAGGTCATCCCTGGGGGGAAATGGGAATTGGAAAGGTCAGGATACCTTCCTCCCAGAAAAAAAGCCCCTCTTCTCACCAGAAAAATAAAATAAAACACCTCCTGGCAGGCTTTACCCTGCAATATTGGGTGTGGCAGATACTTGTTCTTGGGGCGCCCTGTCCCCAAAGTAATTCCCGGTTCCTCCCACTGGATGGCATTTGTCTTTCCAGAGGTCACTTCCAAGGGAAAACATGCGTGTAGAATTTCCGGACTGGGGCGGCGATGGGGGTGGGGCGGGGAGAAGGGAAGCATTCAGATCTAAATGAACTTAAGGGCCCTCCAAGCAACCCCTCCCACCAGAGTGGGAGCCAGTCACCTCCACTGCCCCCCAATTCGGGATTGCATAAGATCGGCCCAATCCTCCCGTTTCGCAGAGCGAACCACCGAGGCCCTGCGAGCTGAGGTCACGGAGCGAGGCCAGGTAGCGGCTGCGTGTCCAGCACAGAAGTAGGCCCCGGGACTTTTAAACCAAAAACCCTGAATGGCGCTCCCAGAGGCGCCCATCAACCTTGGCATCCAGAAAGGTTCTAAGAGTTTTTCCCAAGAAACTGCCTGCGGACTGGACGCTCCTGGAAGCTCTCCCAGGAATCCCTCTGGGCTGGGAGGGGGGAGGAAGAGACCCTGGCGGGGCAAGCTCAGAGCACTGTGGGGGTAGGGGACAGGGGACATTAAATTAGACACTAGAAACCCCCGTTCGTAAACCGGTTCGGCTTCACGCACGCCCTCCAAGCTGCGCCTTCTCCCCAGGGATGCCGCAGGCCACGCTCAGCCGGAACGCGCCTGGTCCTTCCCCAAGCATCAGGCGTGCCCACGGCCGGTCCGAAGGTCACGGTCCCCGGACCCGCCAGAGGAGCGGGGGAGGGGATTCCGGTGTGTCCTCAGTCTAGGCAGGTTGGTCAGCTGCCGGGCGGCGGGCGCCCGAAGTTGCGGGGACCCCGGCTCCCCACCCACCCCACGTCTTGCCCGGCGCCGACGCGGGAGGACGCGCGGGGACAAAGGCAGAGCGGTGGGTGCGGGAGGCCAGAGACGCGCCGCTCGCTGGTATTTGCATCCAAAGTTCAGGCGGGACAGGAGCCCGGGGACCAGCCACGTCCGCAGCCCCTGCGCCCCGGCTCTGACAGGTAGGGATGCCCTTCTTGCACCCGCCCGCCACGCCGCCAAACTTCGAGGGCTGGTTTTTCAGAGAGCGACCTCTGGGCTTGAAAGTTTAGCCAAATCTTCGGGTCCTGCAAGTCACCAGAGCCGCCCCCCTTCCGCGCAGAACCGGGGTCTGGCCTTGGCGGTAGCCAGGGGCTCCGTCTCAGCCTGACACCCCGAGGTCCCGCAGCCAGGGCTCCTCCCGGAGCTCCGAGCACTCTCGGGGTGGGGGGTGGGGTGGGGAAGTGGGGTGAGACGGCCAGGACACGGAGGAACTGGGGTCCGGGGACACCCAGGGAGGAGGGGGCG